AATACCTATAAAGGTAAAATTAGTAAATAGTGGTAGGTCTGATTTATAAGTGAGTGATTTTCTTAAATAGTTCTTATTTATCTGATATAGCTATATTTATTTTTCCTTCTGTTTTATTGATAGCCTTAGTGTTAAGGGTAATACTTGTGCTTGATTATTTGCCTAGAACTGCTTTAGGAGCCATGCCAATTTTTGTTGAGTCATTATATAAAATTAAAATGAAAGGATGGGAAATGCTTTGTGTTGACAGGCTGAAGTTCCTGCTGTAAAGGACATGTTGGAAGCTGGTATTTTAGATACTTACCTAGGAAAATATTGGGCTATTAAACTGGCTACTAATGCGGCAGTCACTGTACTTAGAGTGGATCAGGTAAGTGAAATTTTTGTTTTTTAAAATGTTAACTTTTTATGGTTTAAGTAACGATCTTTCACAGAACTAGAATGTAACACTTCTGATTGTATTACCCTCACATCTTAGATGATAGATGCTAATACGCTCTTCCAATTTTTTAAATTTTCTATTATAAATTGTATTGAATGTATTACTTTAAAACGAGGATCTTTCCAGTGAAAGAAAACTTAGTCAAGATAGTAAATCACCTACGTACAAATAACCTAGATAGTATGCTTAATATCTGGTATGTGGAATATGAAAAAAATTGTATGGACTGTGGAAGCATTATAAAATCCTGAAGTAGACAATATAAATACCAACCTTAAGGAAAATGAAGTCTGTAGTTATCTGTGAAGATGAGAGGACCTTGGCATTTATACCTTTACTTTTTTTTTTGCTATGACACATCATAGCTTTAGGTTCTAAAAGATCTTCAAGGTTTTGTGTGTGTGTGTGTGCATGCATGCACAGTACTGGGGTTTGAACTTAGGGCCCTGTGCTTGCTAAGTAGGCACTCTACTACTTGAATCATGTCCCCAAGCCAGTCTTCAAGGTTTTAAGATGACAATAGTCCTATCATTTTGCATTATTAAGAGGTAAACACTATTCTTGCTATAGTGTTAAATCAGAATTTGTATTACCCACAAAATTCTAGAAGTAATTATTAAACAATGAGCTACTTATAAATATTTAACAGAAAATTGTAATGGCTAAGGGCACAATATATACCCATATAGTGAAAATCATACCAAAATTAAATTTGTAAAAATTCTTAAAATCAGTGGAAAGACAACTAGACTTATTCCTGAGCACAATAAGGGACAATTTATAGCAATTACAGAACAAAATAACCTTTTTGTGAATGAGGAAGAATTTTTTTTTTCATTGTTAGAGATGACCACAAGTAGAACTGGATGTTCAATTTCAACTCAGTAGAAATAAGTAAAAGAGAAGTGCTGGGGGAAACAGGGCAGTGGCGGTGGCTGTTGTGTATAAGGCCCTGTGTTTGATCCTCAGCACCACCAAAAAGAAAAAGAAAAACAAGCAGAAACTGAATATTTGTGTACCAAATTTATTAGAAGTCTGTTTACTTAGTGGGTAGTTTCAGAAGTGGTTTTTTTTTTTAAGGCTTTCAGTAAAGTAATAGAAACATAAGGAATTTTTTATCCTGGAAGTCAGAATTTGACTAAGAATAAAAGAGGGAACAAATTAGAAGAGGGTGACAAAAGAAGCTAAGTAGACTGAAGCATGAGGTGAGCAGAAATTCTGGTAGTGTAAGTTCTTAGCTGACGAGCTTTTGAGTCGGATGTCAGTTATCCGAGCAATACACTAGTTATAACTGGTAGTCACAAAGGAACTTAAAATTTTTGGGTTTAAACTAGGAAGCCTGCTTTGCAATAAGGGTTTGTTCTTTGCACTCTGTGCACAAAGATGTAGCTGAAGAACTCATGATTCTGTTAGCCAGTTTTATTAGTGCTGTGAACTTACACATTCTTAAAAGCCAGTTATACCTGGTTTTGTTCAGAATATATTCCTGAAAGAGACTCACAAATCAAGTTTTAACCATGTTATATATATAAGGGGCTGGATTCTTTATTCAAATATCTTTTCCACTAGTTCTCAAAGTATGATCCCCAGATCAACAGTATCAGTATTACTTAAGAGCTTGTTAAAAATAAAGATTCTGCTAGGTGTAGTAGCGCATTCCTGTTGTCATCCCAGCACCAGGGAGGAAGGAGGATCATGAGTTTGAGACCTTCCTGGGCTACACTGTGAGTCTGAGGCCAGCCTGGACTACACTGTAAGACCCTATCTCAAAAAACGGATAAAAAACTCTCCAGATCCACTGAATCAGAACTTGTGAAGGAGGCTCAGGAAGTTTTAGCTTGCTTTCAAGTGACTGTGATACCTGCTAAAGCTTAGAACCTACTATTCTGGATACCTTTTTCCTCCTGTGCTGGGGATCGTGCACATGCTAGGCTAGTGCTCTCACGTTCCCAGTCCCCTCCAGTTTAGATTTCTTGCAGAGGCTTCTGAAAGGGACATTCAGTGTATTTGAGTGATAGTAAATATGGATAGTATATGTTGCTTAAAACAAGCCAAACCCCCTTTCCTTTTGGAAAGCAATGAAATTTTTATTATTTTAACTCCTTCCAAACTTATTTGAGCTCAAAACTACCACCATTTTTGTTTTTAAACATAAATCTTAAAATGATTTAACTTGACTTAAAGATGTTCTTTAATGGCACCAGCGCCAGTGGCTCACACCTGTTATCCTAGCTACTCAGGAGGCAGAGATCAGTTGGATTGCAGTTCAAAGCCAGCCTGGGCAAATAGTTCCTGAGACCCTATCTCGAAAAAAACCCATCATTTAAAAAAAAGGGGCTGGTGGAGTTGGCTCAAGGTGTAGGCCCCAAGTTCAAACCCCAGTACTGCAAAAAAAAATTTTTTTTATGTTTTAATGACTATACTGTACCTTGAAAATGTTGAGTTAGCACATTTTACATAAACTAGAGGGAAGATTTTTAAGATACGGTGCTTGGGGTTTTGTTTATGAATAAATGCTTCCTGCTGTGTAAATGTTCTCTCAAGTACTAGAACATTTCAATGTTAAACTTTTTATGTATGGACAACTTTAGATTATAATGGCAAAACTGACAGGTGGACCTAAAGTTAAACCACAAGGAAATTGGGATGGAGACGGTTGGCAAGACGAACCTCATATATAAATAGCAAGTCATGTGCCACACTGACTTGTACAGGGATGTATGAAAGTAATTTTCATTCTTCATTCATTGAGTTATCAAAGTGCATGTACTGAAATGAAATGTCTTTCATTAATCTGTGTGGGTTTTGTTACTGTTACCCACAGAAACAGGAAACTTTCTCACTGCTAGAAGTTCAGTTGAATTTCTAATAAGCTAGCATACTTTGTGCTCTAACAGTGTTTTACATGCAATATAGAATAGATTGTTTATGTTGAGATGATTGCTTTATCATCTCAAACAATGTTCATTCTAAAGGTGGAGTTATTAAGCATATTTTTGTGGTTTTGTGTTGTTACGCAGATCATCATGGCAAAACCAGCTGGTGGACCCAAGCCTCCAAGTGGGAAGAAAGACTGGGATGATGACCAAAATGATTGAATGGTTTGATTTTTACTATAAGTGAAGGTTATATATGTAGGGTAGGAATTGCTTAATGTTTTCTTATTCTCCTTAAATTAAGTGTTTTGTGTTTGTATCCTCAGCTGAATAAGACAATAAACATGTTACTGTTAAAGCCTCACTGATGACCAGTTATTTAATCTAAGTGATGTTTGTTTCAACCTTATTAAACACATTAGCTGTGGAATTTAGGGCAAATCACTTAATTTCTTTCCTTTTTGTAAGTTACTGAACACAGCCATGTTTGTGTAGTTACATATTGTGGGCAGCTGCTTTCTGTAAGGAAATGGCAGAGTTAAGTAATTGTGACAGACACATGGACCCAGAAAACCTAAAATAATAATATTTTGGTCCTTTACAGGAAAAGTCTGCCAACCCCTGGACTAGATTTCCATGGTGGTTTTTTTCTCAGCTTTGGAAATCTTGAGTTCTGGGGTGAATTCATTATTGAATGCAAGATTTACATTGTAGTAGTAAAGTACCAAAAAGATATTAAGAACACAACTGAAAATACACTTCCTGATGTATATACATTGTTAGTTTTCATAAAGCAGATCTTAAGATCAGTAAAAATGTGACTGGAAGTGAGGTTCAAGTGGTAGAGCCTCGAGTTCAAACCACAGTACCACTAAGTAAAGTGTTGAAAAAGCAAAAGAACATGCATAAGAACAGGATTTTGTAAGATCTGTTAGACCTATTGGGTATATAAGGGCCTCTAGTATTTAAATTACATACTGTTTTTGGTATTCTTTCCAAGGAATTTTAGAAGCAATATGGTTGATGGCTCTTAAACTCACTGGGTGTTAGGTATGACTCACATCTCATTAAAACCACAGCAGAAGAGTTGTTTTGTCAGATTCTAACAGAACTTGACAAGAAAGTTCAAGGGCTTGGTGTCCTGTGCCTCTACTGCACGTAACAAACACTGGTTTACTTGGGTGTAAAAGTTTTTTAGAGGCTGGATGCCAGTATCTCACACCTGTAATCCTAGCTACTCAGGAGGATCATGGTTCAAAGCCAGCTCTGGGCAAGTATTTCATGATCCCCTATCTCAAAAAGTCCAACATATAAAAGGGCTAGTGGAGTGACTCAAGTGGTAAGTGCCTGCCTAGTAAGCATGAGGCCCTGAGTTCAAACCCCAGTACTACCAAAAAGTAAAAAAGCGAAACTTATTAGAACAGTCACGCTTTCTCTGGCATCCTGGCATGGGCACTTCTTAATACCCAGTTATTTGGCTCAGCCAAAGCAACTAGCTTGAGCACACAGCGGCATCACAAGAATTCCAGACATGTTTTTCCAATTACATACTTAACTACTACTGACATCCATACTTATAAAAGTACCAAATAACCTGTGCTTACAAAAACAGTTCATTTTTAAACATGTTACCAGCAGGATAGGCTCACTTAAAATCTTGTAATAAAACAAGTTTTGGGGTAGGGAAGTCAGTTTTATTGATGTGTTGGAGACCCACCATCTTGACACACTAAGCACAGAGGACTTAATTCAAATTTTTTTTTGGAAATGAAGCAGGAATAAAAACCACTATGACAATACAAAATCATTGAATTTTAAGTACTTTCCCTTTGATACTGAAATAAACATTTCTTCTATCAGATACTTCAGTGAATATGATTTATAGACTTTAATTTTTTATTGTTATCATTACAGCCAGTATAAAAGCCATAAATTTGTTTCCAGAGAATGCACTTATTGTTACAGTATTCTCTCATAAAATAGGAGGTATGCTTGTGAGTTGAGTACTTTAGTTGTAGGCACAGCTTGCACATGCGTATCACTGATGTGAAACCACTGTCCTTTGGTTGATTCCATTTCACAATCTGTCAAGAGGAAACAACATTAAATAAAAATGGAAGGATTCAAGTTTGTTATTTTGGTTTTGCCGTAATCTACTAAATACCTCAGTTTTCCAAGATAACTTACCTTGTGGAATACCACCGTGTAGAACAAGATTGGAGAGGTGACTATTTGTAGTTCTTGCCTTGGCATAGGCAGTGTAATGCCCTGACCTCATAGTACCACTGTGTTCAACAACTCCATACAAACAATACAGTACTCGTGTGTTTTCTTCAGCAACATTCTTTAAGAATGAACAGGATTCAAAGTTAGTTCTAATTCCACTTACACAGGTGGTGGTAGCAAGACAAGTTTACAATTTCACAAATGGTCTTCAATCTTTCAACTGAGGAGCTCATGTCTACCTAGACTACTTGCACTACATCACCAGCCCTTTTTGCTTATTTTTCAGACAAGATTTCAGGGGTTTTGCTGAGACAGCCTTGGATCCTACATAAGCCTCCACATAGCTGAGATCACAGGTGTCACCAACATGCCTGGCTTATCTGTTGGGATGGGGGTCTCACTTTTTGTCTGGGTTAGTCTCAAACCATGATTCTCCTGATCTCTGCCTCTCAAGTAGCTGAGATTACAGGTGTGAGTCACTGTGTCTGCTAACCTTTACTTTGAAAGTAGGAAATTCTAAGTCTGAAGTTAACTATTTTACCCTACCTCTTCTCAGCCTACTTTCATGAAAAAGTGGCCATTGCCCTTTCCCTGCTGAAAAAGCCAGAAACCATGGACCACTACATGTAACCGCAGTTAACTGACCCAGATACTAACTGAACTTGCTTGAATTTCTTAAGAGACTGAGAATAATTCCAAAAACTTTTCAGTAGCCCTAACCATCAGCCTGGTCCCTGTCCAAAATGGCCCTTACCAAAAAGACAGTAGTATTCAGGTTGTACTCATAAGTCATTCTATAATTTAAAATGTCCCTGAGGAGCATGGAGTACACTAACCTCTCAAGTGCTTGCTTCCCCACCCAGAGTGGAGGCTGTTTAAGACCCCATATGCCATAGAGCTGGCAACAGGAAGGTGTTTTCTCATGTAAGAGGCCCTTTTTCAAACTACTACATTTATGTTCTCTTGCAAAAAGTCCTGAATGGGCATCACTCTTCAATAGTACCACCCCCTACACTCATCTCTGTCATTTATGCTTTCAAACTCAATGAACTTCCTTCTCCACTACAAATCTGTATTTCCAGCCCCAACCTCTTTGCCCTAGGCCTCAGACATGTGCCTCCAAATGCTTCCTAGACATAAGCACATATAAATACCTCAAAGATATCCGACACTCAATTATTGAAAGCTAAACTCATTATCCTTTCTCCACCTCCCAACCTGCTCATTTCCCTGCATTTCCCACCTTAATTTACACACTCCCATCTGCCTAGTCCCTCAAGCTAGGCTCCAAGAATCCTCAATTCCTCTTTCTGGCTATCCTCAGCATCCACTTACGGCCTCTGCCTCACCTCCCAGCACCAACCAATTAATTTTACCTGCTAAAATACCCCTTCACTTTCTTCCTCTCCTTCCCCATCATAAGCCCCATCGTTTATTGCCTGAATTGATCCAACTGCCTCCCAACTCACTTCTCTATCTCTCATCTTTTCCTCCTAAAATTCAGCCTCCATATTTCAGCAAGTAACCTGATACGCAGACAGGCCCTTATCAACATATTGCTTTAAACTCTTCAGTAGCTCCTCATTGGATACTTTAAAAAGGGTGAATTCCTCAGCATAAAAAGTCTTCATTCCTATCTCACTCTTCTGGCTACATTTCCCTACTTTCTCTACACCTTGTTCTGTAAGCTATAGAACTGCTTACATTGCCAGTCTCTGGCATGTACTACCCTATTTTATACTGTTACACCTTTGTTCCTGCTATTCTTTTTTCCTGAAAAACTTGATTCATCTTGACTCATCATAGTAACTTTAACTCCTTCTTTAGGTAGTAGTTGAGGCATGGTCTCAGTCCAACATGCTGGACTGAGTGCATACCACATCTGTGTATACCAGTCTTAACACTCAACCATAATAAACTAAGATTATCCATTAATATCTGCCCACCATTAGTTTTATGCCCTAAGCTACCAAGACAGTTTCTGCCATATAATGGAGATTCAAAATAGTGTTAATCTGAATTAACCTCATATTCAAAGTGAATCACCATTGATCTTGAAATTATAAAAGTACAATGACCAAAACCCACCCTGCTCACTAATTCTTATCAACTCCATATTTATGAGATGCTATTAGACTATTTGGTAAGCTATGATTTCTCTTTAAAGAATTTTTCCTGTAAAAAAGACAAGTTTCACCTACCTTACATTTAACAGTACAAAAAGGAGCCAAATCTAAGATTTCCGGAAACTTTATGTGTCTGTTAACTTTGCGTAGGTTAAAACCAGCCTAGAAAAGAAGGTTGACAGATTTAAGTTCTTTTCCTGGGAAAGCTATGAATGTTAAGTAAATTGTAGCCCCTCCACTGTCAAAAGAACCCCAACGTCCAGCTCTCGTTCAGTCTTCCCAGGTAATTGTATTCTTCCTGACCACTACTTGATTCCAAGTTGGCTTATTTATGCTAAGTGCTTACAAACACATACACACATAAATAAAATAAAAAAGCTGCTCCCACGAGAGCACTGTTTCTTCTTTATTCACTCAGAAAAGACCAAAGGTTTTGAGCACCTAAAACTAGCAACAGCAGAATACTTTTCTGTGAAACATGCATGTTTAGCCTTATACTCTAACCAAGTTTAGGAATTAGTAAAGACACACCCAGTTTGTCAAGCCCATACCAGCCACAAAAAGGAAAAAATGTTCTGAAGACCCTGAAGGTACTTTTAAAATTTGAAAAAGAATTTGAAAGTTGTATTGTTACCATGTCTTCCATAAAAGGTAAGATCACCAAAATGATGAACATCTAGTGTACCAATGTCTTTTTATCAAGTCAGTAAAAATAAGATACCACACACAAAACAGGAAATCAATTATTATATTCCTAAGTGTAAGATACAAGTATTAAACTGGTCTTTTTTTAACCTGAAATTAATCTTAGAGTAAGATACTTAATCATATTATAAAAAGCAACATGAGTTCTAGTGAATGTAAGGAAGGACTGTGACTACACTTACTACACTTATCCTCATTGACAAATGCCTTTGTCTTGCACAGACGTATTTTTAATTACTTTCCTAGTTCTTTGGTATTAGAATTAAAAAAAAAATTAAAAAAATCACACTATCATAGTAATATGTTCAGACAATAACAAAGTAGATACTTGATATTTAAAATTTGGGAAACAAGAAGTACCTGCTGAAATCTCTTCAAATGAAGAGTGAGAACAGGAGGAGCAAGAGAAATTAGCATCTGCTTTTTAGCGTTGGTGTAAGCGTGCTTCCTTTCACCTACAGAAAGAAATTATAATATGTGAAAATCATTTTAGACCTCTACAGCATTCAGATTTACTCTAAAATCACTTCAAACATCTGGAGCAACAGCTCAGCAAACTTCTGTAATGGACAAGATAATAAATATTGTAGGTCTTACGGACCAAGAGACAAAAATCAAGGAAATTGTTTAGGTGTTTACATATAAAAAAAACTTTTCCATAAATTTTTATGGATGAAATCAAAATATAATAATTTAGCTTGATTGTGCTCTTGTTAGAATAGAATTATGTTAAGGGCCATAACATTTTGGTTAGCTAGGGTTCAAAGTGAGTGTTCCCCATCATCAAATCATTTACAAATATTCACCTATAAAAACATTTTTGAGGAGCCAGGAATGGCATTGCACACCTGTAGTAACAGTACTTGGGAGGAGGAGGCTGAAGGATCACAAGATCAAGGCCATCCAGGGTACATAGCAAGACTGTCTCAAAAAAGCAAGGGATATAGTGCAGTAGTAAAGTTCATTCTCCAGCATTAAAAAAAGAAAAAAAATTTTAAAGAGCATTAACAAGGTGTTCAGAGATAACTGGCACATTTCCCTCCACAAAAAGGAACCACAGAAAAAACATGTTTTAGCTCAGAGACTATTAAAACACAGGTAGATCAGATTTGGTCCATGAACCTTAATTTACCAACACCTACTATAAAGCAAATACAAACGCTATAAAATCAATACAATTTTATTTTTTGCATCTACACGTAAATAAACAGAAAGCTGGGATTTTAAACATTTCAACTCTAGTAAAAATTCTTAGGAACAGCCCAGTGTTGTTCCTATGCCCATTCCTATAATCCTGGTTACTTGGGAGGCTGAAACTCAGAAGGATGGCAGTTTGAGGCCAGACCAGGCAAACAGTTCAAAAGACTCCCATCTCCAAAAAGAAAACCAGAGCAAAATGGTCTGGAGATGTGGCTCAAGCCCTAAGTTCAAAGCCCAGTCCCACCAAAAACAAAACAAAACAAAACAAAAAAATTTTAGGAATATGTGGCCTCAATTTACCCCACTTACCCAAACTCAAAAAGTGGGGGCCGGGGATAAGGAAGGATGAATAGAGAGAACTGCCAATATCTTTCTATTCCATATTTGAGAGAAATTATAACAAAGCCCAGTCCTCCGACACTTTGTAGAAGGCATGTCTGTCACATACATACACTGAAAAACTCAAGCATAACTTCCTGGGTGCAAGGGAGCTAAGGGTCATCCCAAGTGCTGACAGGGAACTGAAGATGCAAGGAAAGTCAGTCTGCCAGGATGCTGTTATGATAGCATTCCAAAGGGATAATTTAGGACTGATAGAGTGGATCAAGTGGTAAGAGCACCTGCCTAGCAAGCAAGCATGAGGTCCTGAGTTCAAACCTCAGTGCCACCAAAAAAATTTTTTAAAATGTCAAAGGGATGATTTACCCACAGGGAGAAGTGTTGGAGAACAAACTGTCCCACTCCAATTGCTTCTGGGATGCCACAGAGTATAGCCACCTCAGTAAAGTTCATCCTTCATCCGTCTATTAAAATACTTACACATGAGAGGGCACTTACACTTGCCACACAAATCCACCTATGCAGTGCAAATGTTCTTAATATTAATTTTACTTAACAATGAGAAGTCTTAATACCTTTTATATTTGCCTTAGGTCCATTATTATACTGTCTCCTGGTACACACTTCACAAAGCAGTTTATTCGCATCTCGAAGTTTCTCATTACGGGTGAACTGATATAAACAATGCTGGATTGAACACTCATCAGTATTAAAAGCTTCTCTGTTTGCAAGAGTACAGAAAGCAGTTTCTGGATCTTCATTCACAACCTCATATACATTTGTTCCAGAAGCATCACTGTCATCCAGAATCTCTATATTTATTTCATCAGGTTCAAGAGCAGCATTCAAATTAAGGTTTTTGAAACCATTAGAAATGTCCACTTCTCCATTGCTCCTGTCCTCCAGGCAGGCACCATTTAAACTCCTAGTACATTCAGTGGGAGATGACAAAACCTCCAGTTCATTATTCATGTTGACATTTTTCATATCTGTTTCCTCTATAGATTTTTGATTGTCAGTTATATTTTCTATTATTTTTTCTTGACCATTCAAATCTTTCTGATTCACACAAAATTCTTCCTGTGTAACTTCCGCTTGTGCAATATGGTTGGATTCAATACTCATTTCTTCCTGAAGTGACATTTCAGCTTCACATTCATTATCTTCAGGATGGTCAATGTTACAAATATCATTTAGATGAAGAACTTTCCCTTGAATTTTTTGTTGCCTTCGTTGGTTCTGTCCAAGAAGTGTAAGACGTTAAAAAGAGAAGAAAAGGAGGAAGGGAGAGAGATAAAGAAAGATGGACAGACAGGAAGAAAGAGTGTATATGTACCATAACAAGTTTTGCTGTTACCAATCAAATACAAATAATTTCCTGAGGAGGAAGTGGTCACTCTCAAAGTCTGATTCTAAAATTTCCTCTACTATTAAGATTTAAATAAATTACAAAGAAAAGTTCTTTAAATGAAGTCAGGAATAATCACGAGTAATCAAAAAATTGTTCCACTGGGGAAATAAAAATGTGCAAGAGAGATAGTGTCTGTTTTAAGAGAAGTAATCTAGAGAGGTATGACAGTCAAACCCAAGTAGCCAAATAGTAAACTTGGGAGATGAGTCTGACACACAGCTGAAGGGCATATTCATGTTAGTTATAATTATTGAGTCAAGACTTCACTGAGAAGACAATAAATTGAAAACTAAAGGATGCACAAGTATAGGACTGTTTTGGACGGAAAGATGGATAAATGCATCCTGGGGAAAAAAATGGCCCAAAGTTAATGAAAAAGCAAGGACGCCACATGGACACATGCACGAAGGACAGTAAAGGATGTTTTTCCCAATAGGCAACTTATTTGTTTGTTTATTTATGCCATTGCAGTCTATTTCCAAGCACAGAGAAACAAAGGCATGTATTCAAATTTGTCTTATTGAAGTACCTGAAGACCTAACAGGGTTAGAAGTCTGGGTCATAACTGAAAGGATGCAGGTGAGGCTGATCTGAAAACCAGAAACATGAAGAGCAGCACAACGCACGCAGGACACAAGCATTTTCTGATGTGTTTCAGCAAAAGGAGAGGCACACCCAGGAGAGAAGCAGAGAAAGAGTGTACAGAGAATACCTCAAAAAAAAGGAAACACAACTAGCTCCGAAACACAAAAATTACCCTAACTTCACTTACGTTAAAATAAATGCAAAATAAAACTGCAATGAGATAATATTTTCCAGCTATCTGACTAGCAGAAATGAAGAAATTTGATAACACACTGCTGTCAGGGGTCAGAAGAAACAGGAAGTCTCACATATTGCTTGTGTGAATATGAATTAGAACAACCTTTGTCGAAAACAGTAACTATCAAAACCACAAAGACAAACCCTCTTCTCAAGATTGACCCTACATATGACAAAAGGACAGGGTTATTTGCTACAGAATCAGACATCATAGCAAAAGACTAAGTCAATAGAGAAATGGTTACATGAATTATGGTACATCCATAAAAAGGAATGCTATGCACTACAGCCAGAAAAAAAAAAAACAAAGAAACTGTGTCCTGAAATGGAAAGGTGATCAAGAATGTCATTAAGTATTAGCAACCAAACAAAGCATGAGCTCCAGAACGGTGTGTATTAGTAAAAGGGGAATGACATATTTGCATTTGCTCCATTTTCCAAAAGAACTCTATAAGGATGCACAGGAAAATGAAAAGTGGTTATCTATGTCATAAAAGGAGAGTGGTACGTGACTTTTATTATATATTTTAAAATTTGTGAATACCAAGTATTAACTCAAAAAATTAAGTAAAAAAGAATTAAACTAAAAACAGTTCTCTCAAATAATGCAAGACTGAAAAAAAAAAAAAGAGCACAATCTTTTCTTCACATAATGCAACTTCCCTCATAGAAAATAAAATGAGCTAATTCTGTAATTGCCAAGTGAATCCATGGGGAAGGAGGAGAGGACGAACCAATTTAGGACATAATATGAACATGAATATAGGGGAACGTCACAATGAGACCCTCTGTATAACAACCATACACCATCAAAAGTGTACATTGCTTTTTGGTTTTCTTTAAAAGGAAGGACAGGAAGGTAAAATAAATCCTATTGGGGGAGAGGAATAGCTATGGAAAGAGGGAGGGCACAAGAAAAGGATGAAGGACAAATATGATGGAAGTATTTTGTATTCACGAATGAAAACAGACCAAAGAAAGCTGTTGAAATTGTTCTGAAAAGGGGTGGGGGAGATAAAGGAGAAGATGAAAGGGGTGAATCCAATTAAGATATACTGTATGCATTTATATAAATGGCACTATGTAACCCCCATCAACTATAATATGCTAATTTTTAAAAATGAAAAAAAAAAAGTGAATCCAGACTACAAACTCAATAGCTCAAAATACAAAATTAGGCTTGGAGGTGCAGTTCAGTGATAGAGTACTTGTCTAGCATACTCAAGGCCCTGGGTTCCATCCCAAAGCTGCAGATATACATGTATGTGTGTGTATGTTTGTGGGGGGGGTGTTACATATGTACATATTAGGTGTGTATGCTAATATTTTATATATATAAAATTTTAAAAGCATGATTTCCCTCATAGTTACTCACCTTGGCTTGCTTTTTGGCTTGCTTCTTTGCTTTTTTCTGTAAGTGCTTACTTGTTCCTGAAGGAATATCATTTCTTGCTTTTATGTAACTGTCATTATCTTTTTCTTCCTCACTATCTTTATCTTCATCCTCCATTGTCTTTTTCAGATTTTTCTCATTTATACTTTTCTTACCACTCTTAAAATATGGATAAAATATGGATCAAAACCAAAATTTTACAACTGCCATTTGGTGAAAAGAAAATTCATGTTACCTAAAAGTTTTTCTATTTTTTACTAGTTTTATTTTCCACACTATTTGAAAACATTCCTAAGACAAAATTCATTCACGTCATACACTAGAAAGCAATCTTCACATAGTGAAAAAATAAGCAAACAAACAAAACAGCAAAAAGCAACTTCTCCGCAAGCCTAATAGGAAGGAATGTAACAAATTTTGATAAATCTGTATCAGGTTGTACATATACTTATTTCTACATGCACTTTCTAAGTTCTTTATATATCATGCCACAAGGATTCTTTTTTTATATTCTGTTTTTCCTTGTATGTAAATGATAGTTTCAGAGGAAGAAATTAAGTTTGGTGAGACTTCAGTTATTAAATAAGAGGACAAGAGATTTCCAACTCATGTGAATTTGAATAATTATTCATAACATGTTCCTTTTTATTCTACAGCTATTTCGATTAATATGGCTTAAAACTGAGATAATATTCCTTTATTTAACCTTTATGTACTTACGATTGGAAGGGATTTGTGGTTGGTCTTAAGTAATGAAAATAAACTGTAATTTTTTATGAGAAAACTTCCCTACATGTAAACCAGACAATTTTCTATAAAGAATTCCAGACACTAATAATTTTGTTAAAAACAGAAGAATCTACTCCATTCATTATTCAAATCCTAAAAATTATTCTATATCAAATAGATTAAATGCTGGAGGCGTGGCTCAAGTGGTAGAACGCTTGTCTAGCAAACAGGAAGCCTGAATTCAAACCCCAGTATCACCAAAAATAAAATTAATTAAAATTTCTTCATGGGCTGGAAATACATGAATTTTTAAAGTCAAGGAGTCCTCCTAAAATCTAACAAAGGCAAAAAAAAAAAACTCTTCTACTTTAATACAATCAACTCAATAGTCTTACCTGATCATCTAAAACTGGGAGCGACAGATCAAGGAAAGATTCATGAACCAAGGAGACCTTAACCAACCAAAAAAGAAAATGTAAAAGAAAGGAAGGCATTCACATTAAGCACTGCATATTAAAATTCTCCCTATCATGGCGGCAGGCTTTTATAAACAAAGGATTAAGAAAATTTGAAATGAAAAGTTATACAATGTTGGAGGAGTTTGGGTTAGGAAAAATAAAACATTCAAGTTACTTCTTCAAGATTTTAAGAGTGCTGATATTTCCAGTGCTATATACATTTGTATAGTTCAACAAAGTAAATTCTATGAAGTCAGACACTACTGTTCATGAAAGGAACCACTGATAAACCATATTCAATGCATACATTCAGACCACATTTCATCCACTTACAGTCCGGCACTCATCACACATGATTGTACTAGTTAGTTCACCACCAAAGATGCGGTCCACAAAACTAGGTACTGACTTTTTCTTTTCATAATCTGTAAAGAAACAAAAGTTTGCAATTACAGTTTATGTAATTAACTGAATAAGAAAAGTTAAAACTACTTACCTATCTAACTCTAAAATCTTATTTTAATTTCCTGTATCATAACCTTTTTTTCCTCTATTCATAATTATCATAATCTTATTGGCACACTACAGAAGCCAACAGCATACTTGCTACCTCCAAGCATAACACAATTTAACACAATCACTTTTTATGAACAAGAAAACAATACATAAATGTTCTCATCCAAAATCTATTAGTCAGTATACTGAACCAAATTATGCAAGTCAGAGAGACTTTCTATCTACCAAAATCTCTATTGGTAAACTAAGACCAGACTAGGCTAAATGATATTCTGACTCCTTTGTTCCAGCTCTGACATTCTAATGCTCAGTACTGATAAGACATACTATGGTAGCAAACTTGGAGAGAAAATGGATGTAACTTGCTTTGTGAACTCTAAAACTGAATTCCTTTGATCTTGAAATTAATAAACATAACCTTGCACTGGAGGTGTAGTTCAAGTGGTAGAATGCCTGCTTTGCAAGCATGAATCCCTGAGTTCAAACCCCAATTCCATTAAGAAAAAAAAAAAACTATTTCAGACAAAATCTTCCTTTTGATTTTTCTATGTTCCCTAAAAGTTTAATAGAAGGTGGTATTATCTAATCACTTAATTTTCCAAATATATGAAATACATAAGTATTATTCAAAAGATAGATGTTCATTTATGCAGAAACAGTTTTACAAAAAATGGTGGTAGTTGGCACAATTCTCTCTGTTCCTGGCCAGGTTTTAAAGGGTACTGAGAAGGTATGGTTGTTGTGAGTTGATTAGAACCTAAGTTTTACAACACATAGCCCTTAGTAACTTACAGCCATTTAAATTTAATTAAAATTAAATAAGATTTTAGTTCTTCAGTTTCACCAATCACATGTCAAGTGCTAAACAGTCACGTGTGACTCACGGCTTCTACACAGGACAGCATATAGAAAAGTTCCATCATCACAGTAAATTCTGTTGGACAGATCGATCCTAAATTCTTACATGCCACACAACAGTGAGAACTTTTAGCTCCATGAATAATACCCTGCCACTGACAACTCATACTGGTAAGTGTGACTCATGTGCTACTATTAATTTTACTTCTACATTTCTGAAAAATAAAAAGTTTGCCTGAGATAGGGTCTAACTATCAAGACCAGGCTGGTCTTGGCCTCAGCCTCCTGAGTGGTGGGATTACAGGCCTAAAATACCACACCTGCATTGTGATTGCATCTTAGTGCTATCTTTATAAATTTCAGTATAATAATGCATAAAAAATATACCACAAGTTAAATTTTTCTAAAATATTCACCTTTAGAGTATTAAATAATTTTTTAAATCAGTGGTGATACAGACAAATTATGTGTTTATAATATTGTGGGCTTGAAAATGTGCCAACAATCTTGACCTAAGGTACAGAGGAATTCAACTATAGTGTTTTAGTTTAAAAAGTCAGACATTACCTTTAACTTTATTTTTTAGATCTTCATCCAATTTTTCAGTAGAATTACCAAATGCTTTAAGAATTCCTTTACTCACTCTCTAAAAGTAATAAAATGGATATATATACACTATTAAATTTTAAGTTTTATAGTTATTTTCCTTAGAAAATAATCAACTCAAGAATGGATCAAGACGTAGCTCACCAGATTTACTGAAATAAAACTTAATATTTCCAAAACCAATTTTCAAATTAATTCAAGCAGCCAAAAAGAATTATGCCTATAAAGCATTCCCTAACCCCTGAATAAAGGTATTATCGTACCATTTCAAGATCCGAAATCTATTTAAACCAAAGCTTTTCAGGACATGCCCACTTCCTTAGGAAAGATACTGCTTGTGTTGTCCTAGCAAAAGAGTGACTACTGAGAGCTACAGAGGCTGACTCCAGGACACATTGACCAGATGCATCACCACTGGGTGAGCTTAAACTAGGTACTGAACATGTCTACACCCTCGCTTCAGACTCAGTGGAGTGAGACAATAACTCCTCATTGAATGATTGTGACAACTAAGTAAGGTAATTTATATAAAATATTGAGAACACTGCTTAGCATATAATAAGCATAGAATTAAATACTAGCTGTTATCACTGTTACAATTATTATGTTCACATCCCCAAATACACTATTTTATAACCTGGCAGCTAACAAAACTTTTTAATTTCAATGAAAGTCCTGACTCTTACAAAATAAAAATGTTTCCTACAATTAATAAACAGTATTAAGAGCTGGCAGAGTAGTTCAAGTGGCAGAGTGTCTGTCAAGCAAGTATAAAGCCCTGAGTTCAAACCCCAGTACCAACAAAAAAAATTAAACAAATAAACAAACAAACAAATAAATAAAAAGCAGTATCAAATAATATTCAGAAAAAGAGTACAGGTACATTGCAACTGGGAATTTGGGAAGAAATATTTTCCAATACTCTGCAACTCTCTTAATAGGGCCAAGAACAACAGAATCTTTAAGGAATAATATTGCTCCAAACATCAAGTAAACTAAAGCATCATGAAAAAGATCATTTCTAACTGTCACTTTATTCTAATGAAGACACATTAGTGAAAAAGCTGGTATAGGAAAGAAGTTTTTAAGTGTGATGGCCTCATTGACTATCTTTAATAGCCCTTAGGATAGCAAATGGCAGACAAGTTCATGAGATGGGATGATAAAATATGGTGCTCATGATATGCTAACTTGGTGTTCTTCTGCTCTCATCCCATCCAATAAATAACGAAGTAGCTCTTGGCTGTCCTGCTGCTGGTAGCCTTTAAACCGCACTGCTCTACAGAAAAACAAAAAAGCAAAGAAAGAAAAGCAAGGATGAGACTACTATACCAGGAAGCTACTTTTTAAAAAATCTTAAGATTACATCCCAAATATCAGAGTGTTCCTGTTTTCTCAAAATTTCTCTTTAGTCTAATAATAGCCTTGGCAGATTTGGTAATCACATAAAGTACATTTCTTTTAAATCCTAATGAAATAAATTATGATTTAATATATATATTTACTGGTTAGTATACATATATATTATATATAATGCTTAATTTTTAATGCTTAAGTTTTTTCTTTTCAGCATCTTACTGATGCACTGAAAGCACAATTGAATGGATACTCACTTTTTACAGACCTGAGAAAATAGTTCTCTAGGTGTCACAATTCCCTTTTTGGTCTCTTGCATCTCATTTAGAAACTGGCTCATGGCTGAAGTAAGAGGGCCAGGAGGATCAAGGTGTATTTCTAAGGGTTCCTGAATATGGGAATAAAAATTACTTCAGTCAAATTTTGGAACCATTTAATTTACCAAAAAAGAACTAGTTAATATATCTTGTCAATATTTCTGATGGAGATGCCCTCTTAAAGATTTGAAATGTACATCATAAGATACAGAAACTGTTAGGCATGGTAGAGCATACCTGTAATAATAGCAGTTGAGAGGCTGAGGCAGGAGGATTACAAGTTCAAGGCCAAATTGGGCTACATAATGAGACTTTGTCTCAAAAAAAGAAAACAACAACAAAAAAACAAACCAACAACAAAAAAGATACAGAAATCTTTTGGTCAAAAACTGTCATATGAAGAATTCAGCTCAGCCGGGTGGCCTGTGGCTCACACCTGTAATCCTAGCTACTTGGGAAGCTGAGATTGGGAGGATCAAGGTTTGAGGCCAACTGAGGTAAATAACTATAGCAAAATAGACTGGAAGTGTGGCTCAAGCATTACAGGGCCTGCTTTGCAAGTACCTGCTTTGGAATTGCAAAGCCTTGAGTTCAAACACTGGCTGTACCCCCAAAAAAAGAATTCAGCTCTATTTTAGTTTTAGATTATAGGAACTTACTACCTGTTTTCAAAATCAAAATGAAAATAATAAAAATGGATAAAGTAAAATTAAGCACTATATGGCACTTAATTCACCTTGAAAGATGTTAGAAATAAGAATGTAGGCCTAGGGCTTCATAAATACCAACATTCCCAAGAAGGAAGCAAAACACTAGCACACAGGAAACACTGCATACACATAGCAAATGGGGGAAAGCTTCTTATAATTTTGATTAGCCTGGAAAGTTTAACTTTACAGTAGCCTAAAACAAAACAAAAACAGACAAAAAAGCAAAAAGAGTCTCAATTCTTTAAAACTGAGAATACAGATAGTCACAGAGAGGAAAGTTACTTATAAAAAAAAATTTTTAAAGTACATACTGTTAGGGCCAAGTCAGGTGGTTCAATTTTTACAATTGTTCCAGACATTTTCACTTCTTTTAGTAGTTCTCTAAGCACTGGTGTTTGTGACAAATTCTGGAAAGCAGAATAGAAAAAGAAAAGGAAAATTACATAATGGCAACTCAATTGATTCAAAGATTTTTTAAGTGTCTATTCTACCAAAATAAAAAATCACAACCAACACTGAAAACTTTATTGTCTCCACTCAAGAAATGAAGCATTACAACACACTCTTCGCCCCCTCTATTTGACTCATAAAAACTGACTTGAGCTTATTCGTCACTTCACAGCGGCATCCTCCTCTTATAGCTCAGCTGGAAGTACCTACCTCTCATCCCCACCACAGTTCTCTCACCACCACTTGTAACTGTCAGGTTATCCTGTGCTTCTGACCTCAGAGCAAAGTCCATGGGGTCAGGAATCATGAATGCTTGAAACCTCATTACTCCCAGTGTTTACCACAATGTTTCACTGCATGCAAAACATTTCTTATGGATTACTTTGAATATATAAAAATAAATTACATAGTGGGGGCACCTCAGTACTCTAAGCAACCAACTCTACGCTGAAAAGGTTGGTGAAAATGGGAAAAAATAATGCTGATACCTGCATAACTGCATTGAAGAAACACGTATTTCCCAAATTGCTGAGTCCTTTTACAGTTATTTGGGAAGCAGAATTCATGGGAGGATTTTCTTTAGCCATACTTTCTGTTTTTTCTTTCTCTTGTTCATTTTTACTCTCTTTTTCTAATTTTTTATTTTCAAGTTCAATGTTCCCATTATCTTTCTCTGTTTTAAAAAGAAAGAAAAATAAAAGATTTGGCAAATATGCAATATAGTCATATCAAATGCAAAGTTATATTTGGAACAGAGTACTGGAATTGGTGAGTTTTACCTAATCTAATTATCTGCCATAAATTTTCTTCTAAATGTTATTTAATAAATAGAAGCAAAGTACCATAGAAAGAAGGTTAATAAATATTCAGAACTGATGTAGCACTAATTTGACAAATTAAACCAAGCAGAATGTGCTTTGGTAAATATCTTCTCTTTATTATTACATAAAATTTTTCTACAAATGAGCATATCTTATCTTATAAAATGAGAACACAAAACAATCAAGTAAAAAATTTGGACATAAAATAAGTGTTTGAATAAATTCCAAAGGCCATAAAATAATTCTGTAGTTAAGACAAACAATTTTGAGTCTGATAAAGATACTCGTGACTGTAAATAGCTAAAGAATAAGCTTAAACCAGGCATGGTATTACATGCCTGTAATCCCCGCTACTCAGGCAGTAGAGAAAGAAAAACTGTGGTTTCAAACCACCTCAGGCAAAAAGTTACCAAGATCCTATCTCAAAAATAAGCCAGGGGCTGGCACAGTGGCTCAAGTGGTAGAACAACTGCCTAGCAAGCATGAGGCCCTGAATTCAAATCCCAGTACCACAAAAAAAAAAAGGAGGAAGGCCCTGAGTTCAATCCCTAGTACCATTTCCCCCTACCCCCCAAAAAACAGTAAGATTAAAGCAAAGGGTATATATCAAACCAATTAATTATTAATTTAATTGCATGTAGAAATAACCATAAAGAATTACAAATCTTTATTTTATTTCACAGAGTGAAATCTGTCTATTACAAAAAGCACCAAAGTAAGTAACATAGAAAGCAGATCTATAGTAAGCCCCTGGCCAGCTTATGGGGACAGGGCCTAGTGCCCACTACCCTAGTCTATGCCTTCATTACATGTGACTAGATCACTTCTCACATCCCTTCCAATTCTAAAACCTCATAATTGTATATAGCTTCTGAACCAAAAATAGGGTTATAGTTTAAAATCAGCCACTCAGCTGTAGGTAATATGAAGTAGTATAAGAAGTAAATCAAAATATAAACAGGTACGATAGGCATGGTGGTGAATGCCTGTAATCCCCAGCACTCAGGAGGCTGAGGCAGAAAAATTACAAATTCGAGGCCAGCCTAGGGTGTACAGACACCATGTCTCAAAGAAAGAAACAGAAACCAACATTACAGTATCTATTAAGAAACACATAATTTTACCTGGTTTTGGAGTTTTAAGAGCAGCTTGTTTTTTAATAAAATCAACCACTTGGCCTAATTGCTTTGAACTACAATACTGGACTTCCTCATCACAGATGTAACACCTATGTCCCAAAAGATCAGGGAAAAAAATGATAAACTGACAATTTCAAAAGAGAGAGACAAATTATATACTTCAGGACACCCAAAGTGTGTAACTGCCAAATTATCTACTAGAAAAACTGAAAATAAAAATTCCATTTTCTTTTAAAAGACTACATACAAACTTTGATTTATTATTAATAAGGTTAGCCAAAATTATGGCTACATATAAACACTGTGAAAAACTCCAAACACTTTACCAACTGGACATAACATTAGCATCAAAAGTTTTTTCTACAGATAACTTAATCTATAGATTTACAGTAACAAATTAACAAATTTTACAATTGACAGATTAAAGTTTAGTGAACCCTGTTGTAAAAATGGTTTTTAATGAAGTAAAAATGTTTTAATGATGTCAAAATACAGGAAATGCAACATACCAGCCTAGCATCTATTTTCATGCAAACTAATTGCCAAAAGTTTGCTACATTCTCATTTACCAAAATTTGTTCTTAGTGTCCAAACCTTAAAACTAAAAACAACCCACTATATGCTTTGTAATATCACAGGCAAGAAAACAAAAGGGTGAAGATCCCTAAATCTTCTCCATGCTACAATTTTAGTGTTGGTTCTAAGCAAAAACCTCTCATAATATCACGTTCTCTGGCCTTCTGTGATGGTAAGCAAATACCACAAAGTTTAATTTTGTTGCTCTTAAACATTTTCAAACAATTTCACTCCCGTATTTCAAATAATTTCCACCCAATGAGCACAGGAATTTAAACTCACCACACGCTCCAGGTGTCCAAACTAAGAACCAGACAATGAGGCTCGGATCTTGGTGTCTCGTAGTGTTTCAAGGCATGCTGCTCCTGAGAGTTCCTGCCACAGCCCTAGAGAATGATAAGCATAAACCTCAAACCCACAAACACCCACCAAAAGAACAGAGGATTCAGAATCGATCATGAAGACAGTACCTCAAAAACTTCTGCCATTCTTAAAATTTTGCAAATAAAATGCTAGACTTTTGAACAAGCCTAAATTTTGTTAAAATGTAAATATTCATAGGCAACCAAGGATATGTAAGAAAGAAAACCATGTGCTAAAAGTACTCTTCTTCTCCAACTTGTCCTTTCCAGACCCAACTAAACAATGTGAATATAGTCACTCATTAGCTTGGCTTAGACTCCTTAACAGCCTCTCAAACACTCTCCTCACTTCAGCCTCCACCACATACATTTATTTTTTCAGTTTAACATCCCTAAAACAAAGGTCTGTTCATATACTGTGTAAGTATCTGAACTGTTCATAGTTTGAACAATTCAAAAACTATGAATTGTTCTCGTAAATTCCTAATGAACAAAACTGATACCCTCTGACCCAACTTACCTGCAGCATTAACTTCCATAGTCTCCTATACACATAGTAACTACCAGCTAAAAACACTCAGCACTTCCACAACTATAGAACTTTGTACATGTTATTCCACTTATTGTGAAATTCTTTACCATTATTGCCACCAGACCATATCCCACCCGCTCTTCAGGAACTCGTTTAAAGCCACCTCCTCAAAGAAACCTACATTTATCCTCCTGGATGAGAAAACATAGCACCCTTCCTATAAAACAACCTGGTGGCATTTTTTATTCCTGTTGATGTTAACGATGTTTACAACCTTTCTCCCCTGGCCTATAAATTATAAGACTCAAATTAATAAAATTACTCCATTACAAAAAGACCTAGCACATGGGAGGTGGTCAATAAGCATTAATTTAAAAATCTACCCAACAGGCACAGGAGACTTTCACCTAAAAGCTCTTACACAGCTTTAGAACATGATCACATTTCTCTCTCTCTAGTTAGTTAAGATTACTGCTTAGAAGTACATCTTACTGTGTTATCTATCTAAGCTAGGCTATCAACTCTTGGACCACACCATAATAGCTGGTTCATTTTCCACTGCAGTGAAACATATACTTTGGGGGATAAATATACATCATTGGCTTCTAGTTCTTTAGTTATGATATCAAACACTACTGGTTTATCCCACTTAACATTTAACTTCAATGAATTAAAATTTGGCATTAATTTAAAAAATATAACACCATTTGAGATCATTTGAATGAAAGTTGCTTGAGGCAAAGTAATGAATCACTAGCTAAGGTTACAAAAGATAACTAATGGGATTTAAAAGTTGATATTGACACCATCTTAACCTTATGAATTAAAAGTAGCAAAATAAAATTTATAATAGCAAATGCACTCTAAAAATTTTAAATAGCAAAATCTCTTCATGTTCATCATACATATTAGATTTCAATTCAAACCTTTCAAATACAAAAAAGATTCATTATTTTCTAACATACAGATTTTTCAAATTGTCTGGTCACAATGAGATATCACTAAACACCTACCACAATGGCTAAAATAAAAAATTCTGACAATAGTAAACACTGACAAGGAGCAAAGAAAGTGGATTACTCATACACTGCTGGTAAGGAAATAAAATTGTACAACCACTTTGAAAAGGTTTGGCAGTTTCTTAAAAACCTAAACATTCACTTATTATAGGATCCAGCAATTGTACTCTTGAACATTTATCGTACAGAAATGGAAACCATGAGATCACACAAAAACTTATACACAAATGTTCACATCAGTTTAATTAGCAGTCTCCAAAACCTGAAATTAACCCAGATTGTTTTAGTTATACCATAAAATACTGCTCAGCTACAAAAATTAACAAACTTAGTTCACACAATTTAATTTAAATAAATCTTCAGGTGATTATGCTACGGGAAAAAAGTACGCTATAAAATATGGCATCTATATAACATTTAAAAATTTTTTTTATCATTTTTACATTTACTCACATGTGTATACATTGTTTGGGACACCTCCCCCCCCACCATTTATATAACATTTTTAGAATGATAAAATTCTAAGGAGAAGTGTAGCAGTAGGGCCCTGTAAAGGGCAAAACAAGTAGTCATGTTGGAACTACTTAGTATCTTGACTGTGGTGGTAAAAACACAAATCTACATAGGTGACAAAATGTACTGAATGTAACATAAACAGGCGCCACATGCACACCCATACAAAGATGACTTGAAAGAGCTAAGTGAAATTGGGGGGGTTAATTTCAAAATCCTGCATTATACTAATTTTTCAAAATGTTAACCCCTGGGGGAAATTGGGCAAAATCTATAGAATATCTCTGTTTCTTAGAACTGCACTGAATCTATAATTATCTTGATAAATTTTCAACTTTAAAAAAGTAGGGGAAATGGCTCTCTGCCTTATAAACTGAACATTAAATTTCAAAATAAAATAATCAAAAATGATTAATACCATTTGAGATCATTTGAAAGAGAAAGAGTTGCTTAACTTGCAACCACTAAGGCTGACTGAAAGCCTGACCTTTAACACCACGGCAATATGTGGGCTGGTATAGTACACACTGTGATGCACCAGGTAGGTATCCTCTCACTCCCCAGCACAAAGGCACTCATTCTCCAAGCGGCCTGACATGTGGCCTGAGGAGTCCATCCATTCCCAGGAATTATCCTCAATAAAAAGAAGCTGCCTTGCCCAAGCTCTCTTCATGGGCATATCACATCCAATAGCTGGTCTATGCATAGGCATAAAGGCCTAGCCCTTTTCCTCAATTCAGGATACCTCTCAGAGGCCAGAGTTCACCATGAGGTCAGTTAAGGCTCTGCTGCAACTGCTTCTTCATTATGCTTCTGCCTCTGCCTAATTCTGTTTCCCAGTTGTACCTAGGAACACTACCCAGTGAAGCACAAATACAAAAATCTCAGTTTCAGATTCAGTTCCCCAGGAAACATGACCTAATGTCATGACATCCTAGTCAGCCATACTGAACTTCTAGGTAATACCTTTTAAAACAAGTTCAAAGAGTTGTCTAAAATTCCGTATTTATCAAATTCTAAGCATACCTGATGGCCACATTTAAGACACAGCCAAACTGAAGGGTTTTCTTCTGTTTCTTCTTCAGATTTATCTTTAACTTTATTGTCTGTCTTACAATCTTGGCAAATATTCCATTCCACATTCACTAAAGCCTTTTTCAAATTACCTTGTTCTAATCCTTTTCTTACATGCCTGCACATAGGTTCTATAAAACAAATAATTAAAAAAGGAATATATAAGATCAACAATAGCTTTTTACTCAAGGAATCCCAAAAATTATCCATTCAACCTCAAAAATGAATTACTCTACAAACAAACTTTAAGATAATCAGGACACTTATATAATCTTGTTTGATATTTGAATAGTATGAGATGACTATGTGAAACTTTTTTGTGAGATGTGTGTGTGTATGTGTGTGCGTGTGTACACACATGTGCATGCAGGGCCTCATGCATATTACATAAGTGCTATACCAGTGAGCTATATCCTCAACTCCTGAGAAGGAGATTTCATACTAATTTGAAATCTTGCTTTTTTGAAGTCCTAAATATTATCACTATCATCCCTACAAATTCACTTCAATTTATTTAGCTATAATCTTTAAAGGCCCTTCATTCAGTTGACAATAAGCCTACTGCAGGTTAGGCAATATGCTAGTTGCCAGGAACCAAAAGTGACCAAGCCACACCTCTTCTCTTGTGTAGCTCACATTCTGGCAAGAGCAGCAGCTAAATAAATTAATGTATTACAGCATCACAAGAAAAAAAGGCTAAAGTTACCAAAAATTTCACAGGGGAGATAACAGCTATAGAGTCCTGGAATTTTGATTACTGTTAGAAATTTGATATTGATATTGATTAAACACTTCCTATAAGCTGTGCTAAGTGTTCTGCACACATTACCATCTCATTTAATCCTCACAACCACCAACAAGGAAGACACTATTATTCCCAGTAACAAATTAAAAAACCAAGATCAAGTAAGCACTGAGTGACTATGCCAGAAGTTGGATTCCAGTTTCTCTGACTTCATAGCTCACCATTCAAACTGTGAAGGACAGAGAATGAAGGGCAATCTGAAAAGGCCAAGCTGATAAATAAAGACATGTAAGAGTGCATGCTATCTACCTGAATGGCACAGTCATACAATGTGTAAAAAGATGCAGCTGGTCCTGAGACTGTGGGAGCCAGGTGAGTAAAGGGCTTTTGAAAGTCATTTTAAAGGGCTTGAGTTGCTTCAGCCACTCTAGACTCAAGTGGCACAACTGGCTTTATGTCTGAAGAATTCGCATCAAGCAAAGATATTATCAATGCAAATAAGATCACACAGGGAAAACTATGGAATCTCAGCAGTAGTCAAAGAAATACAAACTAAAAACAGAAGCTATCCTTTTTAAAACTCAAATTGGCAAAGATTTTTACAAATGATACTAACCAGTGCTGGTGAAGGTTCGGGGAAATGGGCATTTCATTGCACTGCTGAGGGCCTATACATTAGTAAAGCATTTCTGAATGGCAACTTGCAACAGACTCAAAAGAAACTTGAAATCTTTATATGCTTGATTCAAAACAATTCTACTTAGATGGAGGTGTGGCTCAAGCGGCAGAGTGCCTGCCTAGCAAGCACAGAGCCCTGAGTTCAAACTCCAGTACTCCCAAAAAAGATAAAATAACCAGATGTTCACAAATGGTTAACAACAAAGATGTTCGTTACTGTGCCGTTCAAAACACTAAAAAGTAAAGCCTTCTTAAATCTGTAACAGGGAAGAGTAATAAACTATGAAATACGAAGTCATGGTCCTTTACATCAAAGGAATATTCCTCTGCCATTAAAAATGCCGTGGGCTCGTGGAATGGCTCAACTAGCAGAACACTCGCCCAGCAAACACAAGGCCCTGAATTCAATCTCCAGTATCACAAAAAAAGAAAAAAAAAAAAAAAAGCTGTAGAAGACTGTTAAATAACATGTAGATATAAACGTTAAAATGCAATGCAGCTTATATAACATATACTTAGATCCATTTTTATATATGAAAATACCCATTGAAAGATATAAACATTACTTTAAAGATTCAA